TACATGCATACATCGCGTCAGTATTCAAGTCCTGTCATTGATACTGTTTTATAATTATGTAAGATGGACCAATTGTGGGGGAAACTGAGTGAAAGGTATGCAGGTCCTTTGTGTATTTCCTTTGTAATTTCCTGTGAGTCTATAATTATTTCAAAATAAAGTCTGTTTCATTTTAATTTCACTTGGGAGGCGTTTCTGGGGAGTGACTGAGGCTTCTAGTCAGAAGAGCTGTGGACTGCCAAGGGCATTTGAAAACAAAGTACAACGCAAAGGAAGGTTGGCTACCAACTAAGAAGAAAGGCTGTGTATAGAGAGATTTTTGTGGTAGAGAAAACAATCATTCCTTTCCAATATGAATCTCAAGTATATTAATGTTTTTTAACCCTTGACTGCAGATTAGAACTAAGTGCAAAGTTTTTTTGTTTGTTTTTTTAAGTAGGCTCCACACCCAGCATGGAGCCCAACGCGGGGCTTGAACTCACGACCCTGAGATTGAGACCTGAGCAGAGATCAAGAGTTGGACGCTTAACTGACTGAGCCACCCAGGCGCCCCAGAACTAAGTGGAAAGTTTTTAAAATGTTCAATGTCCAGCCCCGTCTCTGGTGATTCAGACTCTTTTGGGTTAGGATGATCATAATTATCCTAGATGATTCTGCAGTGCAGTCTGGACTAAGGAACACCATATTACACCAAGGAATGTAACATTAGTTTGGTGTCTGAAATTTGTCACCATTTTGAACCCTGTAAAAGAAAAGTAAACCCAAAGATTTATATTATTCCAATAGTGAATTTATATTAAGGTTAGTTACCGAGCCCCTGAGCTACCTATACCTTAATGAAGCAGTATTCAGATCCCTGGCAGTTTAAAAATAACACAGGTGTTTTTTCAATATGCTGTATTAAAACAAGAAATCAATATTTTATCTTTTGAACGTCAGTGATTCTCTCAAGTAATTTTTTACTTTTTTGTGGCCGTGAATAAGATGCAAGAGAAACATGCTTTAAATTTCAGGAATTAATCTGTGATAAACTGCTTCTAGAAGGGGCAATTCTAAATTGTGTAAACCAAGGTAAATAGCAGCAGAGATCTTTCATATTGCCCAGGATAACAGAATGACAAATGTGTTCTATAAAGAGGATTTGACCCAAATTTAAAAATTAAAAATTAGTAAGCTTTATATTAATTACTATAATTACGAAGGGTTATCAAAATTCCACATTAATATCCGATTCAACTTTATTTAACAATAGTTCATGATGCCCCTAAGCACAACTGGATATTACAGATGATATATAACTGAGATCTAGAGCAGAATCCTGGAAACAGTATGGAACCTGAAATAGAGGGCTTCTCTTCACGTCCCTGCTACTCTACTTACTGGTTATTTGACCCTAGGTGAGATCCTTATCAGTTTCCTCATATGTAAATTTGAAATAATAATATTCTGAAGAATGAAAGAAATAATGTAAGAAAGCACTTTAAGTTACAAAATGCTAACCACTTTGCCATTGTCATAATTATTACCATTTTAAAAAATCAGTTCTTGATTGTTAGCTGCCCACTTAAAGGTCTGTGAAACTGACATTTTTTAAAAGCTGTAGTTTATATAAATAGAGCAAATTTCTCATGATCAAAACGAGTGTGTGGTGAATGAGTCGTTAATTGAAGGGTGATGGTTCCAAATTGCAAATGGCTTGGACATATTTGCTGACATTGATGGATCCTATTAACTATAACTCACGGAAGTGGCCAGCTCCCTTGGCAAATGCAAATACTGTATGCCTTTTACAGTTTTCCTTTTAGAAACCTAAAAGATATATTTTATTTCTATTTCTAGCCTTTCCATTAAAGGGCACTTTAGCTGTGGTGCTGCTAAATTCTTAAGCTTTACATTTAGGAGCAAAAGATCTCTAACAGCATACACCTACCTGTCACTATTCGATGCCCTGAAACAAATGCAGAGGGCCACAAGGATATCTGGAAGAATTTCAAAATGTCCATAGCTGTACTAATTGGAAAGTAAGAGCATGATATTGAATACTGTGAGAATAAATGGCTCATATAAACATATTTTTAAACTTCACAAATATAAAATTATAAAATAATTCTAAATAATAATTGCAAATAAGCCTTCATGAACAATTTATAAGAACAACTGAATAATCTAAGAGCTAGCTGTCTTAAATATTGAAAATCATAAATAGTATTTTATTGAGATAATTTTAGTATTACCCATAAATTATAACCTTTAATTAACAGTAATATTTTTAATATGCAAGTGTTGGGGGTTTGCCTTACTTTCCATATTTAAATATGTAACTAATTTCATGTTTCTATTTCAAAAATACTAATTCCTTGTCTTAAGGAAAATTACTGTTAAAAATTAACACCATTTAAAGTGCAAACATAAACTTGTGTGATTCCTCAATATCCATCATTTTCTATCCTGCAGCTATTTTTTTTTCTCAAGTTGAGATAGATATCTACTTCAAAGTATACCTGTAGAGTTATATGCAAGTAATAGGCAATGTGATTTTATTGGATTGTCTGTTTATACCCCCTCTGCTTTCCAAACAGGATTACAATGCCCTATTATAAATAGCTGCACCATAGCATAAGATAGTCACAGAAACTGTGATAAGTAAAAAATGAGTGTAGGAAAAGTAAGTTTAAGTTCAAAGTGAGGTTAGAATGCATATGGCTCAGTTTACTTGCCAGAGAAAGACTACAAATTTAGCTGAAGGGAAAAATATGATTGGCTGATAATACATGGGGTCCAAATGCTCAGGAGATGTGGTTATTTCTGGTGCTGACATCTGGTGCCAAGACATCTCTCCCATGCATCATTATAAAGTGAACCTTCTTTGATATAGTAAATGGCACCATCAACAACACATCTCTATCTCTACACTAATACTGTCATAGGCCTTTTCTTATAATATCTCCCTAAGCTGGCTGATGCTGTAGCATCAAAGGCCAGGAAAACTAATTCTACAGGAGCCACAAACATGTAGAACAGGGACCCAGTTCCCTAATGGGCAAGGTAGAACAAGACTTGGAACCTAGCCAAGTAGCTAGTGGCAAAGTGACTCCATTTTAATCTATAATTTTGAAGTTAACTAGAGGAAAGTATGACCCATATAGCCAAATGCCCAACTATCATTTATTTGCAAATAAATTAGAATAAGGGCAGAAATATTCCTTAAGCCTTCTATGCTACATAACGTCTTCATTTTTCTTTTCATATGTAGTAGAGACTATGAGTATAGAACTTATAAAGTAAAAGACAGAAAAAGGGAAACTATTAATGGGGAGTTGGATTTTGAAAATAAAAGAAAATGAAAGTTGTGGGTAATGAAAAAGACTCATTTAGTATATTAGTATTGGTATTTCATACCAAATTTGATGCCAAGAAGAAAAGAAGAAAAGCCAATACATACAAATTAAATTGTACAGTAACACTGAAAGAGATGGAATAAAATAGAAAAGGCCCACATTTCTTTTAACCGGACATTCAAGGTAAAAAGACAAATTACCTAAAAATCAGGAATGGATATTCATGAACACATACTAAAATATCTATACATAGACTACCAGTGAAAAATACTCTACACTGTTCCCATGTCTTGGTCTATATCTCTTATCAGAACCTGGAGAACAGATTGGATAGTGGAGGAAAGAAGACTTTATAGGTCAATTTAATAATCTACTTGTCTAATTTTGTGAATAGACTCTAGGAGATCTTATGTATTACATTGAAAACTAGGTATTTCCATTCAGAACTTACTGCCAAGAAAATCAAGACTTGAGCACTAGCCAAACAAAGAATTACAAAGGAGGCTACAGGTAAATCCCAAGATTAATTCATGTCAAACCAATTAAATCAGATGTCAATAGTGTCCAAGAAAAATCACTGGGGCATATAATGGACTCAAAATTTAAGGAGTGAAGGTAGAAAAATTGTCCTTGCTTTTGGCTGAGAGAGAATGGAAGGAAGTTGAAGGTTGAGAAAAAAATGGAAGCTAAAGGGAATTCAAGTGATGCTAAGTAAAGCAAGCAAAAGGAGATGAGAGATAATTTCCCCCCCCAGATTTCTATGCACAAGCTAGCTACCAACTGGCCTTTGTCTTGAGTAGGTGTTTGTAAGTCTTAAACCAGCCAATGTGCCCAGACTTTGTAGAACAAGATGGGAAAGAAAGGCACATTTTGGGACTGAGAGAAGAAATTAGCAAAATACACAAAAGGAATATTTTCATGATTATCCAGAGACAGAGACACCAAAAGATGCCTTGATATGTAGAAATGTGTAGTTCCCAAATTGAAAAATTCCTGAGGTAATGAATAAAAACAAATGTGGAGAGGTAGCTCCCAAACTGGAAAGGGGACCCAGAGACCACGGGAAAGGGAAAGAGCCCAAGAAAGAGATCATGAAAATGAGGGAGAGAAGGAACTATGCGGTAGGAGGGAGAAAAGGGCTGGAAGAAGGAAACTACACAGGAATTTACCTTACGCTAGCTGTTTGGCACTGTACAGCCTAACTGACTATTTGAAGTACCAAGTCTCTGACAAGGTTCCCCTTTTGCCAGCTTTTCCCTGAGTAGGAACAGGGTAGAAATCCATAAGGCACATTTAAATATGGTGGGGGCTGGGGCAAGTGAATTGTGTAGCCTTGCTAGAATACTGTTGATTTTAGAATCAATTTTATTATAGGGAAGAATCATCTTGGACCCTCTCCTGGAATATTTACTTAATGAAATTCAGAAAAACCACATCTATAACACTCTCAATTATAAGGCAATCTCTTAAGTGGATCCGGAAGATATTATCATAATTAAGTTCCAGAGTGTGTATTAATACAAAATCCTGGTAAATAGAATTCTTCTCATAAAAGAAGTATCCCTGTAGATAAACTCCAGAAGCATTGCTGAAAACTTCCCCTGTATGGGAATATGCCGGAATGGGAGGCTACTAACAAGAGAATTTTGCTTTTCCTTGCAGATCATAAAGCTCGGTTGAAGTGACAACCAGAGGAAAAGCCCACAAACAAGTACAGTATGATGAGATGCTGGGAAGAGAAAAACTGCAAAAGGTAAGTTATCACTTACACCTGCTTCTGTTCAAAGACTGAAAGCACATGGAAGGAAGAGAGTAACTTGATAAGAGCAAAGTGAATCATTGGCTGGAATTAAATTCGAACTGGGTCTTGAACTGTTGGTCTGTGGGAAAAGTGACTGACAGGTACTTAATTAGAAAGGAACTCCGTGAGCAAAGGTACAAAGGGGAGGATGTAAAAGATGCATATAAGAGACAATAATCAAGAGGTAATAGAAGAGATGCCTAGAGGAATAGAAGACAACCTTGGACAGCAATGAAGTAAACAGTTGATGGAAAGAGCTTTAAAAATAAACATACAGGAGCCAAGAAACGGATATGATGAAAATATTGAATTTTTTTTTTCCTTTGGCTTTTCACAGGTTAAACAGTCACCTAAGATTACTGGTGACAGATGCCTGCTAACAAGGGGGGAAGCAACATTTAGGAGATTCTTTGGAGACTGCAACATTGCTGATTTCACACTGCAGAAACAGCAACGAATTAAACACAGATACGTGAAATGTGCGTGTGCGCATGTGTCTTGTTGTCATCACTGTCTTTGGAGGAACTGTTTTACGCCCAGTAAGTTACCTCTGGGAAAATAAGTTAGCACTTACGTCATAGTGAATGTGGAGTGGAATCTGTTCACTTGTGGCTTTTTATGAGACTTTCATTTCATATGTAACAAGGCAGAATTTAGAGACTAGGGATGTCATTCAAATATTGTATTAGATTGCTGGAGGAATACTCTAGAGCTACTGTGATAACTCCAACTGCTGATTAGTTTTATTTAATCATATTTTTAAGATCTAATATCTCAAGAAATACAGAGAACAAACTGATGGTTTCCAGAGGGGAGGGAGTGGGGGAGGGGCAAAATGGGAGACACAGACCTCCAGTCATGGATTGACTAAGTCACAGGGATAAAAGGTACAGCATAGGGACTATGGTCAGTGGTGTTGTAATAGCGTTGTATGGGGACAGATGGCAGCTACACTTGCGGTGAGCACAGAATAACACATAGACGTGTGGAATCACTACGTTGTACACCTGAAACTAATGTAACATTGTGTGTCAACTATACCTCAAGTAAAAGAAAAAAGCTCAAATGTTAAAAAAAAAAAAAAGAGTGAGAAAGAGAGAGAATTCTCTTGAGGTTGGATCAGAGGAAGATACTATAGTCCTTAGATTAAATTATAGAATATCTTATAAAAGGATGAACTTAAAGCTCCATTCAACTTTTTTTTTTACGACCCTACTATCAAAGTAATAACGATTGCATATTTAGCACTTTCACAGTGTGAAAGGTGCTGAATAACATTCTTTAAAAAAAAAAGCAAAAGACACTGTCCTCAGATGCAGAAATCTGTGGAAATGCTATGTAAATATTTGAGGTCAGAATTTGGTTTGAAGTGTTCAGAAAAAGGAACGAGATATTTAAATGAGACAAATGGCTTACAGGCTTAATGGAAACAGATGGATAGCAATTAGAGGGAAAGCTAAGCTGGAAACCCCACTGCAAATAGTTCCGGGCTGGAGAAGAGCAGATGATCACAGACCCGGGATGGGAGGACTGAGAAAGGATACGGAGAAGTTGCTTACTCCAGCTCTTGTTCAGCCTTTGATTGTAAGTAAAAAAATAAATAAATAAAAAATTTAAAAAAATTAAAAAATTAAAGAAACTTAAGAAAAATAGTTAGGCAGTGCTACCGAATGAGAGCTAAATGACAGTCATAGTATCTCTATCATTATATTCTTTCTTTCCTGCTTTCCACCACCCTCCCTCTCCTTTTCTTCCATCTCCCTATTCACTTCTCACAAAAAGTCAGGATCTGTTTTACAGCTTTGTCATTTTCTTCATTTTGTCAGAAAGGGCCACAGACTTCCTCAAAGCCTTGAGTTAATACTGTAATATTGTAAAGGAGGGAGGAAAAAAGTCTACACTTAAAAAGGATGGGAGGGAAGGGGGTTGGCTACTAAAATTTATTTTTTCATATTCGGAAAGTCTAGAAAAAACGACTGAAGCAGGAGGAGGAAGGGACTAAGATGGCTTAAAGATTTACCATGTACACTTTCAAAAACAGACGGTTGTAAATTCCCAGCTTGGAAGATCACTTTTAACGGGGATGGGGTGGAGAAGGGGGGATGGATGTGGGACTGTTGCCTTGTTAATTTGACTTGGTTTATTCTGATTATGTTTAATAATATTGCACGGTGACATTCAAAATATACCCTGATAATTATTTTAATTTGATGTTTCCTTTTTTGAGGCTACCGCTTAAATAGCCTGAGGTATTAGCATTTTGACAGGAAATGCTGGGCATACTTGTAACTACTCACCTTCAAAATCTTCAGACATGTATCTTGACCATTAAAAACCTAATTGAAATCATGTTATGTCAAGTAAGATGAATGGTACAAGAAACAGTGTACATGAAGAATGGAAATATTTGGGAGGAAAATAAATCTTTCTAATTACTGACTGGTGTTGGGGGAAAGCAGATGCTACCTCTGAAGGATAGCAACTTACTTTAATTATAGAGATTTCTTGCCTTTTTTTTTTTTTTTTTGGTAATAGAAAAGCCAGTGGTGGTTTCAAAACACATTATCAATCAAGTTATAATAAATATGTATTTATCTTGAAGTAGAATAAAAAAATAAATTTTAAATATTAAAATAAATAGAAGTTACTGAATAACAGAAGACATAAAGTAAAATATTTGAAATTACCTAGACTTGGTAATTATAATGCACTAAATATCTTCACAGAGAATTTAGCCAAACTCTTTAAAGTTTATATCAGAGTGAGAAGTATTCAAAGGAATACCCAAATATAAGTGACCCAAATTCTTAAAGAAGCAGAATTTTGGGGCACCTGGGTGGCTCAGTCGGTTGAGTGTCTGCTTTCGGCTCAAGTCATGATCCTGGGGTCCTGGGATCAAGCCCCACTTTGGGCTCCCTGCTCAGCGGGGAGTCTGCTTGCTGCTTATCCCTCCACACCCACTCATGCTCCTACGTGCATGTGTGCATGTGTGCTTTCTCTCAAATAAATGAATAAAATCTTTAAAAAAAAAACCCATGAATTTTCAATTTCAGTTCAAAAAATTTGAATTAAGATACTGTGTAAGGAGTCATATTATATGACAGAAAAAAAAATCTGGCTGGAATTTAGAGGCCTGGGTTTTAGAACCCCATTTTATCTGTTCACCACTCTAAGACCAAGTTTTCCCTTGTATGTAAAATGAAAGCTTTGGACTACATGGCTTGAGTTCCCTTCCAATTGCCAGACTTCGTGAATCTGCAAAATAGTATTAAGAGAATGTATTATCAATTCAAGATTAATGTTCAAAATTCAGTTCCTCTCCAGGATTCAAAATGCACATACTATGATCTCATTTTTAAAAGAATATTTACATATAAAAAAATTCTGGGACTGCATACACCAAAATGCCAACACTTATTTTATTTAACAAATATTTATTCTTGCTACCATGTGCCACATCCCATGCTCTTACTGTGGATACAGCAGTGAACAAGGAGGACCCGGGCCTGGCCCTCAGGAGCATACCAACTACTGGCTGTATCTCTGGGAGGCAGAGTTTTGCAGTGCCAGTTTCTTTCTTTTTTTCTTTAATCACATTTCTGAAGTTGCTGCATTTAACACCTTTGAAATAAGAGAAAGTTACCACTTGAAAAATTTCCACTGTTTGCAAGATATCACACAGTCCTATTTCTTTACAAACAATGATGTACAAAAGAACACTCAGAACTCCAGGATTCTTAACAAAAACAAAACAACTGCTTAAATCTGTTCCCACAAGCAACAGGTTTTGTATATTTTATTGCTAATTTATTATTATACAAGATCCTTGTGGCCAGTTGACCAGAGGACCCAAATTAGGAACATGATGCTGCTAACAATTCTAGATCCCATTTAGAAACCTAGAAGATTCTTGTAAGCACAGTGGTCATAAAATATTCAGAAGAAATTTTTTAAGTAAAACAATTATTGACAAACTTCAATAGTCCTATGCCCCCTCGTAAAAAATTTGTAGTGCTACCTATAATGATAGCTTTGATCCTAACTCGAGTAGCCTCTTTGATGAGACCTGTCATACTGTCAAAATCCTCTCTGAAAGGTCCATAGTATTACCTTCTTGATCATTTTTTTTCTAGTTATTGTTTATTGATCCCTGTTTAGTCCTGTATATCTCTTTTGTTGTATAGTTCTCCTTGTCTAAGGACCTGTTTTGAAGAAACGGGTATACCAGATACTGCTTTCTTTCTCATTACATTTTTGCTTCTTTCCTTTCTAAGTTTTCTATTCCAAAATATTTTCTTCTAAATCATCCACAGGCCTGTATTCCACATGAATTTCACTTGACTGTCATTTTAGAAATGGTTATTGTGCTATTATAATTACCATTCCCAATCAGATAATATATAGCTTCCTAGATTATTCTTTTTTATTACTATTGCTATGATTATTAGTACTCTAGTACTACTTAATGTTTAAAAGTAGATATATGTATATGCAATATACTAATTATAGTCAAAAGGAATGCAGATTAATAAATGCGACGTTGAGAATGGCCTAGGTAATTATATCAGAAAACTATTTTCATTTGTTAACTATCTAGGTGATAGTTTATCATTTCTATGGGTAGTCTAATCTGATAATTAATAATTTTGGGAAATATGTGATTATATTCTTAAGATAGCATTGGTTTTTCAATCCGTAGAACTGGATTATAACCACTCTAGTCTCAATGTCCTATCATTTTTAATCGTGGTATTATATTACTTTGTACCTAAGCTACATTCATCATGCTATAGTTTAATCTGTGTCATGATATTCTCAAACCAGTGGAAGTCATTTCTGTGTTTATCTTTAGTTTTTAAGAGGTATTAGGCTTAAATTAACCTTCATGCGCCTTATCACTTAACTTTTAATTTATCTTTTTTTTTTAAAGATTTTTATTTATTTATTTGACAGAGAGAGACACAGCGAGAGAGGGGACACAAGCAGGGGGAGTGGGAGAGGGAGAAGCAGGCTTCCCGCTGAGCAGGGAGCCCGATGCGGGGCTCGACCCCAGGATCCTGGGATCATGACCTGAGCCGAAGGCAGACGCTTAATGACTGAGCCACCCAGGCGCCCCTTAACTTTTTAATTTATCTTAAAATGTTTTCAAGTCTCATAAATACAAGGCTCTTTTACGGACTTGAAGTCAAACTAAGTGTTATCTCTGCCCTCAGGGAAATGTCAATCTAGCTAGGGAAGTGAAACAAATTATAATCACCCAAACTTTGTTTCTAGCCAGACTTAATCAAGTTCTTTTGAGTTGTACAGCTTAAACTATAAAGTTTGCAGTGTAAACTTCATATTCATTTGAAGATGAAGATGATCTGCTGCACCAGTCCAGACTCCATGAATCACCAGTTTTGAAGCCATTCACATG